GCGATCCAGAAAATTCTTCTATCATTCTTGCCACAAATGTATGTTTTCTTCGAAAATACTCAAGTACTACCAGTAGAGTACTCTACTGTCAAATACCTTTTACTCGCAGTAGTTGCGGAAGGCAAAGTAAATACTCTACGCGTGTTGCTATTGATCGGTAGTTTACGTACGCTTGCTGAAACTGGTTTATGCTTACTCACAATTGACCCGAACGATGAAAGTAGGGGATGGAAAGTATTTGCGCGGCGATCGGATGTCTTGTTGGGCCGTTTAAATGGAATTGCGCTGGAGTCTAATATGTATGTATGTCCGATTGTACCAGGTGAAAAAATTTATGTCACCGATTTCGTTGAAACTTTACTAAATTGTTGTTATTGATGCAAGTAATCAATGTTATGAAGGAAATTTTTTTTATCTCTTTTACTTTTAAAGTTATGAGAGTTCGAATTTTTACGTTTTTGCATCTTTTCTTAAAATCACGAGTTTTCCTAAAAATCGTAACTTACGTCTAACTTACAATTGAGTATCCAAAATAAGTGACCTCATAGGATTTTCCCCTCGCTTTCCGATAATGACAGCAATTTTTTTATAAGAATATTTTTTTTGCACAAATTTTGCAAAAAAAAATTATTTTTGAATTTTTTAAACAATGTATGGTTTCGATTTTTTTTTCAAAATAGCTCATTTCGATAGCTTATTTTCTAAGTTTCGCAACAATATATAAATTGTTATGGGTCCGACATGTGGAACAGAAGTTTTTCCTATCAGAATGCTTGCTAGCCTAACTATTGAGGAACTACTGCACCACTGGGTGCAATTACACGTAGTAGATCCAAGATTACATACAAAATAAGGTGAACAAGATTATAACATCATAAGAAATATTTATTTGAAGAGAGATATCATAAGTAAATGTACTATCTAAGGTACATATATTTTCACAAACATTCATAAATACTGAGAAAAGTATGAATGAACACAAATTTGAAATTTGAGGTTATAAGGATTAACGCAATGCGATGAAAATTTCACTCTTTCTGCCATATTCACTACTTCACATAATTAATGCTTCCTCACAAACTATTGTCTTTGAAAATTGTGAACGTTTAAAGAATTTAAATTACAACTGAAATTCCAATCAAACAGTTCTTACAGTAGTACCTCAATAGTTAGGCTAGCAAGCATTCTGATAGGACAAACTTCTGTTCCACATGTCGATCCCATAACAATTTATATATTGTTGCGAAGCTTAGAAAATAAGCTATCGAAATGAGCTATTTTGAAAAAAATTCGAAACCATGCATTGTTTAAAAAATTCAAAAATATTTTTTTTTTTTGCAATATTTGTGCAAAAAAAAATATTATTATGAAAAAATTATTGTCATTATCGGAAAGAGCGGGAAAAACCCTATGAGGTCACTTATTTTGGATACTCAATTGTAAGTTAGACGTAATTTACGAATTTTAAGCAAACTCGTGATTTTAAGAAAAAATGCAAAAACGTAAAAATTCGAACTCGCATAACTTCAAAAGAAAAAAAGATAAAGAAAAATCCTTCATAACATTGATTACTTGTATGAATGACAACAATTTAGTAAAGTTTCAACGAAATCGGTGACATAAATTTTTTCACCTGGTACACTGGCGAATTTCGCCTGTTGTTGACTGTTATGTAAGCGTAGTTTCTTTCTTTTTACCTTTGAAAGCTTTCGTTTGTTTGCAGTCTGCCTAGTCTTAATGAAGTGAGCTTATGTACATACATACATACATATACTCAACCGTTAATTCAGGCTCCGAATATAGGCTAAAAGCTCATTGTGCTTATTTATATTTAAGATAAAATTTATATTAAAGGAAGGTAATGTAGTATTTACAGCAAGACCCATCGCAGGGGGCAATGTGGAGGATAAGAAGCTAATACAGGCATCCACTCTCAAGAGTTGTACATAGAACAAGAGGAAGGACTATGCGTTAGCCTTGTGGACCTGTGCGTTTCTAGGTATAACTTCTCACATATCTTCGAGGTTTTTTCCTCTAATAAAAGCAACTTGAACAATGAACGCCCTTAGCAGCTACATTTGTAATATTAAAGGCTCCAAGTAGTGTATGAATAGTAATAAATAGGCCTGCCTGTCAACTAATTTTTATACATACATGCATGCATACATATATGTACATAAACATATGGACATATGTGTGTACGTACATTTTGCTCATGCTTCATTTTAATTGCAGACGCCATATCTGCGTGCAACAGCGTACCATCACCATGCCCGTGAAGACAACTGAAGTCTACGCTAGACCAATCTGGAAGCATGTGAATACGCCATGCAGCGCTGTTCAGGTGCAGACACAGAACCCAAACCAGATGTGCACGAGGGTACAGCTTGTCCACGAGCAGGCCTTTCGGGATGTAATACGCCACAAATCAGCGCAACAGGTCACATACGATTGCTGCAACGGTTGGGAGCGTGAACTGCCACAGTCGGACTCTTGCCTAAAACGTAAGCACTGATGAGTATTTATTTATTTTTTATTGCGGAGTACTGTGATTCTTCCATTTTATGTGGATAGCGGTTTGCACAAATCCTTGCCAAAATGGGGGCACCTGCACAGCTCCTGATGTCTGCAGTTGCTCACTGGGGTTCACAGGGCAGTTCTGCGAGCACGATGTAAATGAGTGCGAAGAGGAGAAACCCTGCGACCAGACGTGCATCAACACAGTTGGCTCATACTTTTGCAAATGCCGTGAAGGTTTCGTTCTACAACCGGATCAACAAAGCTGCAAAAAAAATGGTAAGATTCATATGCATGAGCGCATATATGTACATATGTACATTAGATTTCCTCAAGCCCCATACAAAGAAAAATCGATTCTCCTTCCCCTAGCGAATTAAAATCGGTTCGATTTTATGACTTCCCACCAAAATATTTAGCCTTCATCTAGCATTACCCTTGAGCGGTACGGCGTTAAAAATATGCCAAGACATCGCATTTTTCGTGAAAAAAAATTCATTCGCTAAACTTCTTTCCCAGAAGTTTGTCTGAAAAATAAAAAAAAACATGCGTACATAGTATAAGTAAGGCCCAATTTAGGTCAAAAGTTAGATGACATTTAAGTTAATTACACAGCTCAACAAAATTTCAACAACTTCTTGTGGCAATGATCACTGGTTCTTATATAACTTCTTCCGTAGAATCAGAAACTGCCCGTTAAGTTATTTTCGGCATTTTTTATTTCCTCTAGAAAGATATAGACTTGGAGTATAATCTTTTGACCAGTATAGAATTAAAGCTAGAATATTGGTCTGTTAGATAACGAGGTACACAATTAGATTTTTTTAACCTTAAGCCTTTAAACTTGTATTCAAAACTACCAATTTTACTTCATTTTATCAAATTAATTTAAATTTTGTACTAAATAGTTGCCCCTTAGTATCTAAATTTATCTGTCCAATGTTCGAAAATGTGGAAATTATTGGAGAAATGTAAGTGGATTGAAATGTTGAAAAGAATAAATTCCACCTTTAATCCAATCTGAACACATCTTTTATGTTTTCGTTGATAGAATTGGAAACATACTTTGACAGGCTTATTAAGACCTACAATAAGACAATTTTTTAAGAAGTTCGTATGAATGTCAAAAATTGGTTTTGTGACTAATGTTTGCGGAACCGAATTTTGGGATAATAGTGCCACATTTAGGGCCATTTTCTGAAGTAAACTTAAAGTTTAAAGCTAACTTTATATTTAAAAATTGGATTAAAAGTAAAGCAATGTCTAAATCAATCCGTTTTAGATAGTAAAATGCTTTACTTTAGACACAATCATAAATTTTAATGCAATCTTTAAATATAAAGTGAGCGTTAAAGTTACAAGTTACTTGAGAAAACGGCCCCTGAATCTTTCCCTTTTTGCTGTTCAGAAAATGCCTCATTGTATCGTTATTCTACTACAAAAGCTATAAATTTGAAAAATTCGTTTTTTGATAGTTTTCATAATTGAATAATTTGAATGACTGATTCTAAAGCTCTTGAAAGCTCTTCCTTTTGTTGGCCGTGTTATGAATTCGTATTCAAAATCATGATTACTTTCTCCATATTTGAATAGCCGACATTGGACATTTAAATACAGTTTAAATATTTGATTTGAAATTCGATATTTTTTAATCATCGATCGGCACTTAAATTTGCTCATCTGAAATTGGTTCTTAGAGATTTACATGAATTCTGCTCCATGTTGAAATATTTTAGCCCAAAACAAATCAGACAAATATTTTCCATGAAAAATCGGATGAAAAATTAAAACAAATTTTCATAATAAAAAAGTTGTCGAAAAAAATTAATTCTTTTGAATTTATTAGAACAGTTTTTAAAAACGTTGATGCAAATCTATTTGTCAAACGCCCCTTTTTCTACCGCCACCGTTAGTGGATTTACTTGAACAATTTAACTATCAGAGATGTTCCATCAGCGCCCACACATTAGAGTTAATTAAAATATAGACATCGACTTCAGACGAAATAGCAATTTTGCTTTCGGGCATAAAAATACCCAATAGTCTGTTGCGCTTGGGGAAGCGGCACCTTTTTTTTCTTGGGGCACCCTAATGCATGTAAATGAAAAAAATTAAAATATTCAATAGGCATTGAAGATGATGATGCTTTCGAAGCGCGTGATCTGGAAAACGAAATCGAGTCGAGCGATAATGAAGACATGAGTGCACGTCTTCAAAAAATAGAGCGCTCCTTAGCCAATGAGCGGGTGCACACGAACGAATTGCAGAAGTCATTGCAAGCGACTTATAACGTTGTGGATACCCTGAAAACTCGCCTAAGCACAATTGTAAGTTCATACATTCGAAAATGCTTAAAAATATATTTTATACATAAATGTACATGCACTTATAGGAAAAACAGCAACAGGACATAAATCGACTGCAGTCTAATCTTTATGCGACAGAGTCGCGCACTAATAGACTTGAGGGCATGTTAAATATGTTAATGAAGTGTCGAAATGGACCAAACGCCTACTGTCCGTAGAATGAATACATATACTCTACGTACTACTTAAGTGCTCGTACGTATGTGCATATGTATGTATGTACATATTACCTTAAGTAAAAAGAACTGTATTGTTAAATAATTAAGCTAGCTGTACTGTATTTTTAAGGCTATGTTCATATTAGAATTGCTTGTAATTATAAAGTTTTCGTTCGCGACCCAACCCAATGTATTTACCGACTTGCCATACCTTTCTATTTAAGCGGGTATTATTAGTAATGTGATGCCATTTTATGTTTACTTTATGAACCAGAGTACAGTCTAATTCTGCACTGGCTTAGAAAAAACTTAACTGCTTTAACCGTGATTGATAACACTGGTTTACACCAAAAGTGTTCAATAGATGCCACTATCCAATTTCTAAGTAGAATGGCTCGGTGATTCCGAGATATTTTCAATTTACCGTTATTCAGCTTAGAAAATAAAGAGTGGTTCCACTTAATCAGGTTTATCTTACGAAATACTTGAATAATCGTAATACGAAATGCAGAAAATTAAAGCCAATGAAAGTCTCCATAACCCGTACATACATCACTTTTCGATAGGCCTGATAGTTTCTGAGAAAATCCATAGCGAAAAAAATTAACTCGATTTTCAGAATCGCCAAGAAATTTTACAAATTGGATTGAATTGGATAATGGAGTCTTTAGAACAATAACAAAACTGAAATTTAAGATCCAGTGTAATCGTTAAATCGCTTCTGACAATTCGTTTTTCTAAAGAAGTTTCAACAAATTAATTATCTGAGGCCTATTTTATAAAAGCGACAGGTGCGACAATTGTCGATTTTTCTGAAAAATTTTTGCGCCAGAATTGTCGGCGACATTTTTCCTACTTCATAGACGCGTGTATTTAACTGTGACAATTTTTGCAAGGTGACAGTGACAATACTGGAATACTGTCGACAATTGTCTGACAATAGTCACTCTGATGAAATTGTCGCGACCATAGCGACAAAACTAAATAGCTCCAGCGGAAAGTTTTCGCGGGAGAATTTTGTAAATTTGTTAATATTATAATTGCGCGCATTTCCATACTTTTCAAAGATTTGAATATTTGTAAAAAATAAAATAATGCAAATGCATTTATTATATATGAATTAGATATAAATTTCTATTGACTGGCGACGACAATTTCGTCATTTCTTAATGGAATTTTTCATGGAACTGAAACCGAGAGTTTTTATGAAACAAAACACCCACCAATTGTCACTGACAATACGGAAAATGCCTGTGGTGACAAAATTGTCACTGTCACTTTATGAAATAGGCCCCAGTTCGTTGGAATTATATTTCAAATACATTTTTTTTTTAAGTATTTTAATCAATATGAATTCGTAAGTATTTTGAGATTAACTATAATTGACATTTATGGAAAAGATATTCGTCTAATGTAAATTAAAAGCATGGTAATGCTTGCGGTGGTATCAAAATATTTATGTATGTATGTACACACATATCGTTACCTTAATTCGCAATGACCCTAAATAACACTTTTTTCGAAATTGCTTTTTCCACAGACTTTGGTAGGATATATGTATTTTAAAATACATCATCAATAAAAATTTTAAAATATTAGTACCAAAAACAACGGAGTTACATACTACTTTTTTAAACCCTTACCTGTTTTTGATACTGTTTTTGTTATGTTTTTTGCTTCTGCTGTAAAATAAGAAGTTTTTAAGTTAGGGCTTTTGTGAATTAAGAGTGTGTGTGAATCGGTAACAAAGTTCTATGGGAAAGCTGTTGAATAACAAAATTTACTCGCCGCGAACTTTGTTACCGATTCACAAACGCTCTAAGGTAACAATATAGTGTTCTGATCGAACAAAAATAAAATAGTGCAAAAAATACTGAAGTAAGTGAAGAGTTTTCAAACTGTATTTTTATTCTTGTAAATTAGGGTTGCCAGATATTTTATGCGCGAAATCAGTACATTGGACTTTTTCATGCTAAAAGAAATCAGTACTTTTCAGTACATTTTTATTCAAAGCAAAATTATGAATGTAAGCAACAGATAATACTTCAAAACGCCGGAGAACTTGTTTTTGACAATATTTTGGTATATAGTAAATAAAATATAGTTCATAAAATATAAAAGTGTTATTCATTTTAACATGAGTGTACACATCATTACACATAGGAGCCAATAAATTATTTTATATTTGTGACTTTTTGAATAGCAATAACACTGTAAATCAACTTTTTTTTCTGGGTATTGGACCAAACCATTTTTTTTTTTTTTAAGAGATTAGTCATAGGTAAGTAATTTCTCCGTTCGAAGTTCGAAATTGGACCTTTGGTAAACAATTATTTTAAATTACTGTATGTAAACTAAACTAAAAAAAGTAAAAACATTCATACACAAACAATATAACTTTTTCTATGTTACAGGTGCTATAAGGGGTCAAAGGTCAGGTCTTCGAAAAATTAAAGAACTAATTTAAACAAAATTAATATCGTCACAAACGTGATTAAACCCGCTTTCTTCTGATATGCATTTGTATATTTCGTATGTATGAATCTGAGAAAAAACATTCAAAAGGAATAAATACTTTTTTTTTATAAAACGTTATGTGATTTTAAAATAGTAAGCCATAAATTAAAAAAAAAACGTCTACAACAACAAGTTTCATCCAAATTGTATATTTCTTTTTATTATCTGAAAATTTGGATAAATAAGAGCCTAATAACATTAAAAATCAAAATCGCAATGTGGTAGTTTTTGCCAATTTTATATATATAAATTAAATATAGCGAGTTTGGAAACAGTAAGTTTTATATAGCCAGCTTTTTTCACCTTTTTCGCGTTCTCTCTTCCATGAAGGTTTTGAACTTGTATAAATACGTACAATAAATATTATAGCGACTTTTGAAAGTGTATATATACATACAGTAAGTATTATAGCGACTTTTGCTAGAGTAGCTAACATTTGATGCTATTTTTTTTCAGAATATATAAGGATTTTGCACTGTATTGTTAGTGGACATGAAACTACTTTAAATACTGGTACGTTAACCACCAAAAACTAAAAATCCAAAAAAATTTGCATAGCGCACTTTGCAAGTGGACTACTCATCTCATCGTACAAAGGAGCCAATAAATTATTTTATATTTATGACATTTTTGAATAGCAATAATGAGATCATTCCCATTTTCAGTGTTTTAATAGTCAAAGAATTCTATAAATTTCATTTTAAAATTACTTTTAATTTGAAGTTCACTTACAAAAAATTGTAATTAGAAGCCGGTTTCGCTCTTTGCGCCAGGAAACAAACTTTATTCTTAAGATCCTCTCATACTCTTTAAAAAAATACCACTTTTTAAGGAGTTCATCTATATTTCCTCATGGCTTAAATAATTTTTCAACTACGCAAAAACTGTGAAAGACTAAGACTAAGAAATCGCTAAAAAGAGTATCTAACTCTATGTCTTGTATGCAAAACTCTTTTACAGTCAGTAAATTGAGAAAAAGGAGTTGTAAGTTATAGGCAAAAGCCATTCGAATATTGAAATTTATTGTTATTAAACTGAAAGTTATTTTCGAGATAATTCAAAACACTCGAGAAAATTTTAAGCCTTATTTTTAAATAATTTAAGCTCCATCATATTATCGCAACTGGTACGTAACGACCCGGCGATATGCCCATAAAGCGATTCATCTTTTTGTTGTATTAATTTCTTGAGCATATCAAATATTATCTAACACATGTCAACTATAATTAAATTATTTTCTTCTTATTTTTTACAGTACAGTTTAAGGAAGTTCCAACGTTTTTTTTTTTTCTTTCTATGTATTTCAGTCATGAAGTACAGTTTTTCCTCCATTCAACAATGGGCTTCATAGGCTATTTCCTTCCTTTCCTTTTTTCGTTTTCACGACCCATATACCTCTCCAGAATTACTGGAGAGCGTCATTGGTTTCCTGCAGCGGACCTCCAGTTTCATTCCTTTCTCAGTATGAAATATGTTTCAAGATGTCCCCTGCAGGGCCTTCAATTGCTGTTGCCGTATTTTTAAACTTGATCATAAAGACGCAGAAATTTATCGAGCCGTTAAATAATGCGGCATTTACCCAGGTAGGGATAGGAGTGGGTTATAGTAGGCGAGTGAAAAGGTGCTTGGTGCCGTGGGGAGCCTTCACAACCCGGACATGTTTTTGATATGTCGCGGTGTGTCGTCTGGTCCTGTAGGTGTGTATGAATCGCGTTCTATGGGAGAGTATATGTCGCAAGGAATAATCTGTTTTGGATGCTCATTACATTAGGTCGTGCTCCCTAACTCGGAAATGCCTAACTGAATAGATGATGTGCAGGCGACATCAGAAGGCATCCAATCGGAATGCTATATTGCGGAATTGAAGCTTGACTAATGTACGTTTGTGGGTATAGAAAGGGCGCTGGAGGTGCTCTCGTTCACTTCTGCGAAGCCATCCCAGTCAGCTTTGTTAAAGTTGATATATGCGCGGTCCACGGGAGCAAAGTCGGTGCGTATATCGTTCGAGATGATTATGGGTAGCATGGGATGCTACGTTAAACTATTTATCAGACCAGCACTAGGTATTGTTAGATCAAGCAAAGTACTGCAGCTCCCCATAATCTTAGTGTTGGGTTGATACTCAAAAGCACCCGGGGGTCACGCGAGTTAAAGGTCATGAAGTACATTCCGGATGGAGCCGTCTCTAGCATACGCAGAGTAAGTACTTTTTTGGTCCAGAGTTGGACTCAGTACCAGCCCGGGGAAGAAAGGTGTGGAGACTTTTAATATAATCCTTCTTGAAGGAAAAGAAAATTATGGTCTTTAAATTTGTACTTTTTATTTGAATTTTACAACGAAAAAATCTACATTTTTCAAATTGCACCGATATTTATACAAAAGTTAACTCTTCCAAAAATTATATACATTATGCGTAACCGAGTTATAAATAGTTGCGTGCTCTAACTCGCAAGAAGTTGCAAGAATTTACAGGAATTTACCAGAAAGCGTTCCCGTACTCGGTTCTCTGGCTTATTTTGCCTTTTGACAGTTTTACGGGTTTTAACCCAGAAAAGTTGGGGAACGCAACTATATTAGGTCCATTCCTTATCTTTTTTGACTAAAATCTGAAAAGTGTCAAAATTCAAAAGCGTAAGCCAAATGCGCTCACTAAAAGAGAATAACAGGAAAAAAGTAAAGGAACGCACAAAACCAAATTTTTAGTCCAAAGAATGGCAACAGCAAAACTAACGTCAAATAAGAACAGAAATTTATGTACAAAACACATTCACACAAGCACAAGCACAATAAACACTTACTATGTAAATTATTTTTTGCCGCCTTCCATTTTCAACTCACTTTTTTTAGTTTTTAGATTATTCTCACTTTTCATGTATTCTTTAATTTCCGTTAATTTAGATTCAGTTGAGTGTGACGCTTTTCAAGATTTTGCCAGCAAAAATTCTTCTGACTAAATCTGACTACTTCGGACTGAAGAGAGTTACTCTCACTGAGTGTTGCTCTCTCATTTCTGCTGTTATTTTTGAGTTAAGAACCGCTTTTGGAACTAAATCGACTACTTCGGACTATTTCTACGAGAAAAGGAACGCAACAATTGGTAGTAAAGGCGCAGTTACCCACGGACGTAAAAACGGAGAACGTGTCAGCTGACACGGGCTTTGTTTATTTTCTTTTAGATAATTACCAGGAAAATGAAGAATGAGAAAATTGAAAGAATTACGCTCACAGAGAGCGAAATAACGAAAATGTAAAAAACGCAAAACTTGCAGAAACTAGCAAGTAATTAGCTGATCGTTGACTATGTTGCATGTGGGTGGATAATTCCAAAGACTTGGAGTGTTGCTGTGACAGCCTTGCAATATAATTGGTGCCGTTACAGACCGAGTTAACGGGGATTTTGTTTATCCATTTTGACAGCTGCTAGTTTCTGCTAGTAAAAATTTTACTTTTAGTTTTATCTTCGTGATGTTCGGTTAACGTCGTAACTGCTCCAGTAACTGCTTCTAGTAAGGCTTGCTGAGTCTTTAGTTCAGCTTCCAGAAGGTCGGAGGATGCTTTCGGCTTCTTTAACAGTAGGTCTCCTTTCTGAAACTACATTTACTGCGTGGTGGTGGAAGCGATGGCTCACCGACCGTGACAAGTGGACTTATTTGAGATTCATGTATCTCTATTTCCAAAAGTAGACGCAGCTATGCCTTCAACACTTTCCATCATCCCAATCAGTTTATATATAGTTTCCTCATTGGAAGAAAGTTTCTGTTGGGTGTTTGGGCCACCACCCGTGCCTTTGCTGCTTTTAAATTTTGCGCCGCCTTTTGAGCGCACATAATTTTTTTTGTCGGTCCACACCTATAAAAAGTTAAGAAAACGATAATTAATAAAGCGAAAACTACACATTTAATCACTTTTACAAACCTTTTTCCACTCGTCGTATTTTTTTTTTTTGGGTGGGTCTGCGGAGTTTGGTCCACCTCAGGGTTCCGCCAAAACCGGGAAACTTCCTTTCTGTTGCCCTTTGGAAGCCGCGAGCAATGTCCGGCTTAGCTTCATTAGGCTTATTAAGATCTCTACCTGTTTTCTATTTGTTGTTTTGGACCTGAATGAAAGTTAGCTTATTACACCAAATTTTCTTTAAATTGTAATTAACTTACATTTTTGTAGCAGTCCCTTTTATAATACTGGTGAAAATTCTCCCAGAATAACGAACAGTGATCGGACTTACAAAAAAAAAAAAAATGTGTGTGGTAAATCTAATGAGATTCAAAAAAATGTGGTAGATCTCAGGTTTTGGATCAAACTATGTACAAAAATTAAACAAAAATCAAGATATTTTTCGAACATATTTTGAAAGATTTCTGCAATCTTGCGGAGTGCTGCCAGTTTTTCTTTTTATCACATCACGATGTAGCGAACAAATGTGGCACGTTCCAGAAACCGCTACTTGGGATTTGCCGATTTTGACAATTCTCAAGTAAAAGTAAACAACGCTTTAGAAACTTTAGATGCACTGAAATTTGCTAATACTTTCACGAAAATCGCCATTTTTAACATTTTCACTGTTCCGTTACTTCCATTATAATCCAGGCATTACGCCGACTCCGAACGGCGATTGTATTTTTATGAGAAGCTGTTTTACACAGAAGAAATACACTCGGAGGTTTGCCATTGCCTGCCGAGGGACGACCGCTGTTAAGAAAAAACCTTTTTTTCTATATTTTTTGCGATGTTGCTTTGACTAGGGTTTGAACCCTGGTGCTGCGGAGTGGAATCGCGCACTGTTTACCACTACACCACAGCGGTCGACAAAATATATGTAAGGCGAAGAAATCAGCTGATTTTACAACACCCCCCTTTATAAATTCGCCTTGATTCGAAATAAGCCAGCCCGAATCGGGTAGGGATCACAACGCGATAGTGCGAATCGGTTGGAGACTTTTTGCTCTTTATTTTCTTCGCCTTTCTTTGGTCCGAAAAGAAGTATCTAGTGCTGAAAAAACAGCGATGTTTACGCACATCGATGTTTCGATGTTTTTGTAGGAGCAACATCGATGTATCGATGCGTCCGCCTTTTTAAATGCCGAATTTTTTAAATGTTGGCTTAATTCATTAACGCAGATATGCAAACAATCAGTCTCTTTAATTTCACAGCCATGCAAATCAAATGAGTTCAATAGTTCAGCCATTTACATATATTGCTGAAATTTTATTAAGTCTTCTAAATTTCAATTTGTCAATTTTTTAAGAATTCACGATTTCAGTAAAATAGAATTCGAATTATTGGAATCTACGTTCAAAAACACATTTTTATAAATACATATACATAACATGAAAGATTTTCATTGACACAGTCTACAGAGAAGCCTGCGACTTAAAGATTTCAAGTTGTGCCAACTCCAATAACCTAAAGCATTAATTATTTGTATTTAGTACGCTTTATTTATATATTAAAATTGTGCTCGTAGATTTTCACTTACCTATGTGATGGTTATAGCTGCGAACATCACAAAAAACATCGATGTTTGAAATGAATTCAAAAACATCGATGTATCGATATTACATCGATGTATCTTCCAGCACTAGAAGCAACCTTGAGGATAGACACAAAAGGCGGAATAAGGATAAAAAAACAAAGCAAACCACAGGAAAATTACAAAACAAAAGAATTAATTATTAGCTTATTTATCAACTTTCATATGAGGTGAATAAAGTTACTATGAAAATCGAACTGATAAACGGGACGATAAAAGCAATCAATTCCTCTGGCGTAGTAAAATAATAATCACGATTTTATCTTCGTCTCAGCTCCTTGGTAAAGGCCTAATATAATTTTTGGTATTTATTATGCGATAATACACTATAAGCCAAGAAAAATGGACCCAACTATATCACGCGATAAAATACCCCTAAAGCAGGCTGAGGTTTCAGTTCGACGTTTTAATGATCTTGCTGTTCCACATCACTTAGGGCTACTAAAAAACCATCGCAGTAATATTGAAAAAAGTGTAGCTCTCGGTGATTGGAACAAGGTTAAGAAGGAAGAAATAAATGCAACACGGGTCATAAAGCAAATAAAAAACTTACTTCTGGAGATGGATGCGTTACGAGACAAAGTACGCCCCGAGGATTTNCCTATTGGATTGGTAGCCGGTTTGAAGGCAGGAGGCCTTGCAGCTGTAGGATGCGGTATACTCGGCTTTACTGGTGGTTCTGTTCTTAAAAACAACCCATCAGCAAATCCTGCCGTAATGCAAGGTAATATTGAGGAAGAGTGCTCACAAGAGAATATACAATTGGAAAAAACAGACGAATGACCCTCAGGGAGTGGCAATAGTCCGTACAATAGGATAAAGGACACTCGTCAGCTATTGGAAGCAGGCAGCAATACACGATTAGATCCGGTAGCCCAAGCTACGACAGGTGTGATATGTAGCGTACGCAGTTACTGTTCCATACAATGAAGACTTACATTTTTTTTTTCTACTCTATTATGTGAGTTTTTTGTTTTTACTTTTAAAATTGATTTAATATTGACTATATATAAAATGGCTTAAATAAAAGGTTAGAAATAAAAGTTGCAAGCGATGGATAATTTGGTATACATTTCGTCGTTTAAAGTACAAAACCGCGTATGAGCATAATGCAAAACCGCTTATCTGAGGTTGGATAAATTATTTTCTAGAGAGTAAAAACACTCATATTTCAAAATGGTTCTCTTTTTTTATAAAGCAATTGCATTTCTGGCTAGTATATATCAGGACGAATGGATGAGGATTGAGCCATGAGCTTGTGTGAGCAAATCCAATTACGCAAATGTCAGTTACGCGGTTTTGCAGAATGACGATACTCGGTTTTGTACTTTAAACGACGATATATATGAAGGCCACCTACGCAGAAAAAAGTTCCGCATCTCTTCTCTGGCAATACAGAAAGGAAAATTCTGCGTAGTAAAGGTTATGATCCCCAAGCGCGACCGAAGGCCGCCTATGCAGATAAAAATCCCGCCCTCTTTTCCGGCAACACAGAAATCAGAATTTTGCTTAGCAAGTGTTATGATCCCTAAGAGCGGCCGAAGGCCGCCAACAGAGAGGGAACTTGCGCACCTCTTCTCTGGCAATACAGAAAGGAGAATTCTGCGCAGCAAGGGTTATGACCGAAGGCTGCTTCATAGTACTCAGATAACTCGTGGCCTTAACCGCAACCGTCCCTGTGAGAGAACGATTCTAGTAGCGTTGGACTTGTCAAAGGCGTTTGACACCGTCTGCCATTCCACGCTGCTAGAAGATATAGAGGCCTCCTCTCTCCCACAGAGGCTCAAACGGTGGTCGGCAAATTATCTGAGTGGTCGACATTCGTCGGTAATATTTAGAGACAAAACGAGTAAGCAGCGAAAAATAAAACAGGGGGTTCCTCAGGGTGGTGTCCTTTCCCCGCTACTGTTTAACTTTTATATTTCAAAGCTCCCTCAACCACCAGAGGGAGTCTCGATTGTCTCCTATGCCGACGA